CGGAGCAGCGGGCCGGCCATGGGGGGTTTGAAGGACGAGCTGCTCAAAGCCATCTGGCACGCCTTCACTGCGCTCGACCTGGACCACAGCGGCAAGGTCTCCAAGTCCCAGCTCAAGGTGGGCGCCGGTCGCTGCCCCGGTCCAGGCGCGCTCCCCACTTCCCCCCACGGCCCCCAGGTGGAAGCGGGACCCGCGGGCGGTGACCTGGGAGCGGCGGGCTGGAATGCGGCCGGGCGGCCTGCTCGGGCTGAGGGGCTAGAAAGCGAGACCTGGCGTTTTCTGTCTCCCTTTTGCCTTCGGGCTGTGCCGTCTGGCGGGCATATTAGTCCCCTTGGGGTGCCGAGTGAGCTGGGAAAGGCGAGGGTCGGGTCGCGAGGGGCGTCTGGCTCTCTGTTTGCGAGAACCTACAAAGTTTCGAAGTTTGGGACTCTGGAGAGAGCGGCGGGAAGCTCCGTAAGACCGGTTCCCGGAGGTTCCTTCTCACTCTGGGAATGGAAGGGACTTGAGGTCACCGGCAGAGCCTTCCGCAGCCCCCAGCCCCCAGCCCCACACCAGGGCCGTCCTCAGACTGCCAGCTGCACCCCAGGCGCCAGGGCAGTCCAGGAAGGGAGAAACGCCCCGGAGCCCGGCCTCCGGCGTCCTGCTTTAGGAAGCTTTGGCGGCGCGGGAGGGACGCTTTCTGGCTTGTGAGTCCCCAGGTCTGGAACCAGTGTGTATGCTGTCCTTCGGGGACCTTGTTTCCGGGTGGGGCACTGATCTTTCTGGCTGCTTTTGCCCTTGAGCTGCTTTTGCAGAGACCTTTTAGTAGCTGCCAAAGACCGCATCATTTAGAGTCTAAGGTATACTTAAAGGAGTGCTTGTAAACTGGGTGACCTCAAGCAGAGTAAGTGGCACTCAGCCAGGAGAAATTGGCAGTTTCTTGAAAGTATAAAATATAGAAAGACAAGAAGAGTCATTCATCGGCATTTAAAAATATACACACTTTGGATCTGAATGCCTGAGTTTCTTAGCCTCTTCTGAAAAAGTAATTTCTGAAGATGAATTGGCTTTGTATATATTATGCAGTAATATTTTATGAGCAGGAGCTTTTGTGCCAGTAGGACTTAGCATTCCCTCCCCTAACTTTTACCCCTCCTTTTTTTTTTTTTTTTTTTTTTTTCTCATTTATAGAATCATCGTCTGGAATTCTGGGCCCATGTATATAATCTACTTAATTTTACTTTATTTTAAAAATTAACATACATTGAAATTGTTTCTTAATTAAATTTTTTTGGTGTATAGTCCTATGAATTATTATTATTATTTTATGATTTTTTTTTGCCATAGGGTGCATACATTCCCTGGAGAGAAAGAGAGAGAGAGAGAGAGAGAGAGAGAGAAAGAAAGTGAGAAAGTGAGAAATCATCCCCTAGGGAGGATGGCCACACTGCAGTCCCTTCTCCATTCTCTTCTTGGAATTTTGGGCACACAAGCCCGCTCACCTGGCGTGATTTTGAAGCAGTTGTATGAGTTTTAACAAGGTTTAGATTCATGTTACTACCACCACCATCAGTTTCATTCTCTCCAAAAGTTCCCTCATGCTTCCCCATTCCCAGACTTCTGGCACTTACTTATGTATTCTTAATTACTATAGTTTGCCTTTTATACAGTGTATATAAATGTAATCATGTAGTATATACCCTTTTGAGATTGGCTTCTTTTATTTAGAGATTTTCCCATCTTGTTGTATGTGTAAATAATTATTTTTATTGCTAAGTAATATAGATATGCCATAGTTTCTTGTTTTTGGTAACTATAGAGCTGCATTTTACTTTTTATTGCTTTTACTTTTAATTTACCTATACTTTTTTATTTAAAGTGGGTTTCTTCTAGATAGCATTAAGTTATGTCTTGTTTTTTAATCCATTCTAATAATCCCTGTCTTTTAATTGATCTATTTAGACCATTTACATTTAATGTTATTATTGATAGGGTTAGATTTAGGGTTACTATTTTATTATTTGGTTTCTGTCTTCTCTGGTTTTTGTTTCTCTGTTTCTCTTTTCCTTTCTCTTTTTGGATCATTTGATTATGTTAGTATCCATTTTAATACTGAGTTTTTTACTTTTTTTGTATTTTTTTTTGAGGTTGTTAGTATTCATACCTAACATTTCATAGTCTATTTAAAAATACTATTTTGGCACTCACTCTAAAAGGATTGTAGAAATTTTATCACTATATAGGTCTATATAGTGTTCTATATTGTAATTTTTGTATTTATTTGTCTACATACATTGAAAACCTGTTCTATATTGTAATTTTTGTATTTATTTGTCTACATACATTGAAAACCTCATCAGACAGTATTATATTTTTTGTTTTCAACATTGTTTCTAACAGTTTTTTAGTTTTGCTATAGGTCATGTAGCTTGCCAGAGACAAAGAGAGAGAGAGAGAAAGGGAGAGAGAGAGAAAGTGAGAAATCACTCCTCAGGGGGATGGCCACACCAAAATCCCTTTTCTTTTACTCTTCTCCTGGGATCCTGGGCACGCAATTTTCAAGCCACTGGTTCTAGACTGGAACCATGCAGTCAGCCAGCTCTGTGGGATCTAGCACCTTAACCTTCTTGTTACTTGCTGGCCCCATATTTTAACTTTTTATGAAATTTACAGAGGGTGTGTGCACTTGCCAGAGAAAGACTAAGAGACAGAGAAGGAGGGAAAAAGCACCTCCTACTGGGATGTGGGCATGCTGCAGTCCCTTCTCTACTTCTCCTTCCTTTCAGGATTTTGGACATATATGGGCATTGCCTGGAGTGTTTCAAATTGTTGGGCATAGGATTCAAACCACTGTTGACCGTAAGAGATTCAGCTCCCTTAGGCCATAGGCTGGCGCTCATTTCTGTTTTAAACCTCTTAAAAGGAGAGAAAGATTGGGACCAGCAGATAGCGTAATGGCAATGTTGCTTGTCTCATGCAGTCGATTGCAGTTGAGCCCTGGACCTGGTGGCTTAAACTCATGCCAGGTGCGCCTGAATACATACCCAAGATCCTCAGAGGGGAATGGAAGAGCAGGGATTGCGGTGTGGCCATCCCCCCTGGGGGGTGATTTTTCGCTTTCTTTCTGTCGAGCACACACGCCCTGTAGCAAAAAACCACTCCAATTAAAATAAAAAAAGAAAGATTTATGTTTTTTTTCCCCCAGGTATTTATAGATTATCCCTTAATTTTATAGATAAGGTAGATGAAGCTTCTGAGGTGAATTATGATTTGTCCAAAGTCACAGAAGAGTTTAAGTTTTGGTAGACAAATTAAGAGATAAATGATTAAAGAAGTCACTTTCTTTATATAGATAAAACTTATATTACTCAGATAATTATGAGCAGGCCATCATGGCTGACCTTATTGCTTTTAAACTTGTATTTATGAATAGCCCTTTCTTAAAACAAGCTAAATGGTTTAAGACTGTATTACTTGTTTTGAATGCAGTTTAAGCACTGTGGTAAATGGTGGGAGATTGAAAACTACTGAGAAAGATTAACTGAACCTTTTTCTGTAGGGAGATGCTAGGTACTCAATACAGCTGAGAAAATGGAGGTTTTCCACCTATTTCTTCCTTAATTTGGTTGGTGTTATACCCTTTATCCTTACTTTTCTCTTTTTTAGAATGAGGGACATTGGTGTATAGAGTCTTTATTCTAGGAATTTATTAATATGCCTCCACCCGAAACTGACAGTACTGCTTTTAGGTTATGCTGTAAGTTTGCAGAAGTCATCATGGATATAGGTATAGGGCATAATGCTTGAAGTAGAGACATCTTGTACTGATATTTAAAAATTATCTCCAGGGGGACCAGCAGGTGGCATGGTAGTTAAGGTGCTGGACACTCCCACATGACTGACCATGGTTCAAGTCCTGGACCTGGTGGCTTGCTTTCTCACTTCCCCTCTTTCTCTCTTTCTCTCTGTGTCTCTCTCTGTCAAATTAAAAGTAAATGAATAAATAAAATAAAAAAAAATGAGAACTTATTCTTTAAAAAAAGAAAATTATCTCTAGGGGCTGGCAAGTGATGTGGTGGTTAAGGTATTAGACTCCCACATGGCCAACTGCAGTTTGAGTCCTGGATCTGGAGGCTTGCTTTTTCTCTCTTTGTTTCGCTGGTCAAACTGAATAACAATAATAAATAAAATAAAATTTAAAATTCTTTAAAAAAATTATCTCCAAATTACTTAAAATTTCAGTAGTCTTGGGGCCAGCAGGTGGTGTGATGGTTAAGGGCACTGGACTCCTACATGGCTGACTGGGGTTTGAGTCCTGGACCTGGTGGTGTGTTTCTTAAACCCCTCACGCCTCCACCACCACCCCCAACCCCTGTCAAGTTACAATAAATAAATAAATAAAGTTAAATAAATAAATTTAAAAACTCCTCATTAAAAAAATTCAGTACTCTTGCTGAAGGATACTATCTCTCTACTGTTACTTAGAAATACTTGCAATTCTAAGAAGATAAAAAAGTATTTCAATAACTATTCAAAAAGTTTCTTTTGAATAGTTCATGCATACATGGTATAAAATGTATAAAATTAAAAAGGTATTTATACTTATAAAATTAAAAAGTGAGTTTCCCCTAACTCTTGACTCATACTCATTTTCTGCCCAGGGGGTAACCATTATTTTGTTTCCTACGTTCCTTCCAAAGATCAAAGTGTACCTTAACATTAATACCCTTATTGTTAAATTATAGTAAGTGGTTTTTCTCGTAACTGCAGCAAAATCTAGTGGTATTTTTGTCACCTCTATTATGACTTTTCTTTGCAATTATGGTTGAAGTGTGAATTATATATCAGTGCTAGAACTGTCTTAAAGTAAGCTTTATTTGGCTCTTATTATCTTGTTTTTAGAAACAGCTTTTATTTTTTTCTTCTTAAATTGTACCTCTTTGAAGAAAAATTATAATTCTAGGGAGGAGCTAAATGAAAATATTTTTGGGGAACAACATGGGTAGTTGGAATCTTTATTCCTTTCTCAATGGTAGATTTTCAACTAAATGTTTCTTATTTCCTTTGTAGTCAGTTTGTGTATTTTGTAAATAATATCATATATTCTATTTCCAAGGTATTTAACATAAAAAATGTTA